ATTGCATTTATGGCTTACCGATAACCATGATCTAAATTATTTAAGTTTTGCACCAAACTCGCTGACTAATATTGGTCATAATCATGTGGTGTTGCACCTGGTTAATAATAATTTAAACTCAACATGGGCATATTTAAATCAGACAAGCTTTGAACCATATTTCAATTCAAGCTCTAAAAATAAATTATATACTAATTTTGTGCTTGATAAAAATGATAAACGCAATGCCTGGTTAAAAACTAAACAGAATATATGCACTCGTATTTACGTTGATGTTATGGTAAGTAAAACTAGTGTGTTCAAGCTTTCGAAACAGCTAGAATTTAATTAAGCATTCATATATTCTGCGTTTATATAAGTAAACTAATTTTATTAATATTTATGTTTGCTTAAATAAATCAAAATTATATTTTATAAAGTAGATTTAATATAATTGTAATAATTGTTAAATGTTCATGCTTATATAAAATGTATATTAAAATTTTATTATTTATTTTAAAATAATAAATATAACAATTAAGCTGTGGCACTTTGTGCTAAAATTATCAAATATCAAGTAGTAATAAAAATGCCTCTATAGTCACATACCATTGCCATCTCAGTCAACACAATGTATGCCATGTATATGCAATGCATAACATTGTGTTGACTGAGATGGCAATGGTATGTGACTATAGAGGCTTTTTTATTACTACTTGAAAGCTGTAACCTTGAGCCGAAACTGCCTCTCCCTAATAACAATCAATAAATATGCATTATTTTTGCCAAATGACGTTTTCCCATAGGGCATGATGGAACTATAATCAAACTTAGTGTACACTTTTACATTGGCATGATCTTTTTTCAAAATTATGTTCGATGCCTAGTTTGACGTTTGACATAATGACCTGCACGTAATCATCTCGGTCAGGTCGAGAATGTTCATGGTTAAAGCCCAGCGCGTGTAACAACTCGTGGGTTACTTTTCGTCCTATAAAACAATTGAGGGCTATTTGTAGGTCTTGTTTACCACCAATTCGACCAAATTTTGATTGTTAATACTCACTGTAATACCACTCACTTGTATGCCATTCATACCATTCAACATGTTTTTGATGATCACTTCTCGCACGTCATCACTGATCTTCTGATTCTTCCTCTTGTTGTGTAGATCATTGTCTTTGCACTCAATTCAAGTCAATCACTTCCATGGCTAACAAACAGACACTAAGTTTTACACATATAGAGTAACGCATAAATTTAGATAATAACTGTACAGTCAGTGCAATGAATGCATTCATTTCATACAACTCTCATTCATGTAAAAATGATTTGACTGTCGGCTCGCGTTAGAAAAAATCATTTGCTCCCAAATTAATAGCAATTGAATTTTACTGTATTTTATTACAAAATTCGAAACATTAAACAACATTTTAGAAATAAGACTTAAACAAGTTTAACTAAACATTACATTTACTTAAATATTTTCAAATTTTCATTTATTTAGAAAAATACCTCAATGTTTTAAATATATGCGGATAACAAACGCAATAAATAAAATATAATAATTTTTAAATATTCAATGCACTTAATTATAATAACAATTTAGTAACTGTAAAATAACCAAGGTGTTACAAATTGTAACTTACAATCTAGGAATTGACAGAATACCTATGTACTTGTCCCTGTGACTCCTGGTCGAATAATCTGTAAAATATGATTTAAAAAATACAGATTAATAAAATATATAAATTTAAAGACATTAATTTAATATAAAAAACATTTAATTTTATTAAAAATCTGAAAGAATAATATCAGACATAGTATGCATACTAAAACATTAGAAATAATTAACATTTAATTAACTTTAAAACGAGTTATAGAGTAAAATAAATAAAACTTTCATGTTTAAAATAGAGTCTCTGCTCTAAACGCATTCTTCTCATAAGATTATCATTCATCCAGTTTTATACATGTTTAACAATAATTGTTAATTGTAACTGGATCATTTGCAAGTACACTGTGTATACGTAATGAGTGCGAATAAGTGCCACAAATAGGTATTTAGAATTACAATAATTGTATTGGTATACTACTGTATAATAAATAATAATCATGATATTTTTGTGAGAAAATATTAAATAAAATAACAACTAATAGTAATTTAATATAAATAAGAATATTCTTGATAATAATTTACGACATTTGTAACAAGGGTACCAAAACTTATTTATCGTAAAACCTTTGGGCATATCGTCTATATTTTACAATTTCCTCGTCATTGCGGGTAAATATCGGGCGTTTGAGTCGTTGATAGTTAGCCCAAACCACTGAATCCGAATCCATCTGCAAATCATACGTATATTAATTGTTTGGTTAGAAAAATTGAATTATTTTCATAATAATAATTGTTATGCTTTGGTACTATTGGGTATATATTCACATATTTGTGAATATATTAAAAACTATGCAAAATATACCTGTTTTTCAACCATTATCCCAAATGGTATAGCGTATAGTCGACTTAAAAAAGATTTCTTACAATAGATACAAGATCTAAATAGTGTTTTACCATGCTGCAATGGTAAAGTGGTGGCCACGGCTACGACGGTGCCCAGGAATGAGTTCTCGGTGCCAATGGATAGCTGCCCCAACACTGGGGATAAGTGCCACACCATAAAGGGTACAGTGACCAACTGGAAGCCAAGTAGATAGATGGTGATTCTACCACGTATGATTGCTTCCATATCCGGGCCGTATGACTCATCGAACGTAAATTTTAAACGAGCTATATATGGTATGAGCACATCGTGACGGTAAGCAATGTGGTGGAAATCGGACCCATTTTCTAAAATTACCTATATTGTTAAAAACAATCACAGTTTATGTATGTAAAATAATAATTGTAGTCTATGAATTGTCAGAATCCATAAAAACCAGGACGTTCTGGTCACCCAATATATTATCTGTATATACTGTTTTATACATTTTGTTATAATTTATAGCTATTGAATACTAATCTTATAATTAGATTATGTGAAAATTATTTATAACAATTATAATGACATTATAGTGTGTTACTAAAGAATGAATAATAAAAACTTTGTTTACATTATAGTAAGTGTATATAATTCTTGGATAACTCCCAGCTAGTGAAAATGTTTGACCAAATTTTTCAAAAAAGTCCTTCGGGTAGTGATTAGCGTTGCCAAAGAATATTCTGAATATCCTGTATAAATGTAAAAAAATTGTCAAAATTTCCTGTATTTTCCTGTACTCGAATTATTTTTATTAAAACACTTAAAATTTATACATTTTTAAAAAAAT